TGAAGTGAAATTCAGAGGACTATCAGAGATTCCTGATTGACCAGAATTCTCTCTTGGGTTTAAATTCAGAGGACTATCAGTGATTCCTGAAAGTGACCAGAATTCTCTCTTAGGCTAAAATTCACAGGTCTTTTGTAATCAGTGATTCCTGAGGGCGACCAGAATTCTCTCTTGGAGTGCAATTCACAGGACTATCAGTGATTTCTGAGGGTGACCAGAATTCTTTTTGGGTTGAAATTCAAAGGTCTTCGTAATCAGTGATTCCTAAGGGCGACAAAAATTCTCTTGGGTTGAAATGCAAAGGTCTTTTATAATCAGTGATTCCTGAGGGCGACAAGAAGTCTCTCTTTTAGTGAAATTCAAAGATCTTTAATCAGTGATTCCTAAAGGGCGACCAAAATTCTTTCTTGGAGTGAATATCAGAGGACTATCAGAGATTCCTGAGAGTGACCAGAATTCTCTCTTGGGTTGAAATTCACAGGTCTTTCATAATCATTGATTCCTGAGGGCGACCAGCATTCTTTTTTGGGTTGAAATTCACAGGTCTTTCATAATCAGTGATTCCTGAGGGTGACCAGAATTATCTCTTGGGTTGAAATTCAGAGGACAATCAGTGATTCCTGAAAGTGACCAGAATTCTCTCTTGGGCTGAAATTCACAGGTCTTTTGTAATCAGTGATTCCTGAGGGTGACCAGAATTCTCTCTTGGAGTGAAATTCAAAGATCTTTAATCAGTGATTCCTAAAAGGCGACCAAAATTCTTTCTTGGAGTGAAATTCAGAGGACTATCAGAGATTCTGAGTGACCAGCATTCTGTTTTGGGTTGAAATTCACAGGTCTTTCATAATCAGTGATTCCTGAAAGTGACCAGAATTCTCTCTTAGGCTGAAATTCACAGGACTTTCATAATCAGTGATTCCTGAGGGTGACCAGAATTATCTCTTGGGTTGAAATTCAGAGGACAATCAGTGATTCCTGAAAGTGACCAGAATTCTCTCTTGGGCTGAAATTCACAGGTCTTTTGTAATCAGTGATTCCTGAGGGTGACCAGAATTCTCTCTTGGAGTGAAATTCAAAGATCTTTAATCAGTGATTCCTAAAAGGCGACCAAAATTCTTTCTTGGAGTGAAATTCAGAGGACTATCAGAGATTCTGAGTGACCAGCATTCTGTTTTGGGTTGAAATTCACAGGTCTTTCATAATCAGTGATTCCTGAAATTGACCAGAATTCTCTCTTAGGCTGAAATTCACAGGACTTTCATAATCAGTGATTCATGAGGGTGACCAGAATTCTCTCTTGGGTTGAAATTCAGAGGACTATCAGTGATTCCTGAGGGTGACCAGAATTCTCTCTTGGAGTGAAATTCACAAGTCTTTTATAATCAGTGATTCCTGAGGGCGACAAGAAGTCTCTCTTTTATTGAAATTCAAAGATCTTTAATCAGTGATTCCTAAAGGGCGATCAAAATTATTTTTTGGAGTGAAATTCAGAGGACTATCAGAGATTCCTGAGAGTGACCAGAATTCTCTCTTGGGTTGAAATTCACAGGTCTTTCATAATCATTGATTCCTGAGGGCGACCAGCATTCTTTTTTGGGTTGAAATTCACAGGTCTTTCATAATCAGTGATTCCTGAAAGTGACCAGAATTCTCTCTTAGGCTGAAATTCAGAGGACTATCAGTGATTCCTGAGGACGACCAGCATTCTTTTTTGGGTTGAAATTCACAGATCTTTTAAATCAGTGATTCCTGAGGACGACCAGAATTCTCTCTTGGTTTTAAATTCAGAGGACTATCAGTGATTCCTGAGGGTGACCAAAATTCTTTTTTGGATTGAAATTCAAAGGTCTTCGTAATCAGTGGTTCCTGGCGGAGACAAAAATCCTCTCTTGGAGTGAAATTCAGAGGACTATCAGGGATTCCTGAGTGTGACCAGAATTCTATCTTGGGTTGAAATTCAAAGGTCTTCATAATCAGTGATTCCTGAGGGCTCCCAGAATTCTCTCTTGGAGTGCAATTCACAGAACTATCAGTGATTCTTGAGGGTGATCAGAATACTGTTTTGGGTTGAAATTCAAAGGTCTTCATTATCAGTGATTCCTTAGGGCGACCAGAATTCTCTCTTGGGTTGAAATTCAAAGGTCTTTAATCAGTGATTCCTGAGGGCGACCAAAATTCTCTCTTTTAGTGAAATTCAGAGGACTATCAGAGATTTCTGAGGATGACCAAAATTCTCTCTTGGGTTGAAATTCGCAGGTCTTTCATAATCATTGATTCCTGAAGGTGACCAGAATTCTCTCTTAGGCTGAAATTCACGACCAGCATTCTTTTTTGGGTTGAAATTCACAGGTCTTTCATAATCAGTGATTCCTGAGGGTGAGCAGAATTATCTCTTGGGTTGAAATTCAGAGGACTATCAGTGATTCCTGAAAGTGACCAGAATTCTCTCTTGGAGTGCAATTCACAGAACTATCAGGGATTCCTGAGGGTGACCAGAATACTTTTTTGGGTTGAAATTCAAAGGTCTTCATAATCAGTGATTCCTAGGGGCGACAAGAAATCTCTTGGGTTGAAATTCAAAGATCTTTAATCAGTGATTCCTGAGGGCGACCAAAACTCTCTTTTAGTGAAATTCAGAGGACTATCAGAGATTTCTGAGGATGACCAAAATTCTCTCTTAGGTTGTAATTCATAATCAGTGATTCCTGAGGACGCCCAGAATTCTCTCTTGGGTTGAAATTCACAGGACTTTCATAATCAGTGATTTCTGAGGGTGACCAGGATTCTCTCTTGGGTTGAAATTCAAAGGTCTTTCATAATCGGTGATTCCTGAGGGTGACCAGAATTCTTTTTTGGGTTGAAATTCAAAAATCTTCATAATCAGTGATTCTTGAAGGCGACCAGAATTCTCTCTTGGGTTGAAGATCAAAGGTCTTTCATAATCAGTGATTCCTAAGGGCGACAAGAATTCCCTTGGGTTTAAATTGAAAGGTCATTCAGAATCAGTGATTCCTTAGGGGGACCAGAATTCTCTCTTGGGTTGAAATTCAAAGGTCTTTCATAATCAGTGATTCCTGGAAGGGACAAAAATTCTCTCTTGGAGTGAAATTCAGAGAACTATCAGAGATTCCTGAAAGTGACCAGAATTCTCTCTTGGTGTGAAATTCACAGAACTTTCATAATCAATGATTCCTGAGAGTGACCAGAATTCTTTTTTGTGTTGAAAGGTCTTCATAATCTGTGTTTCCTGAGGGTGGCCAAAATTCTCTCTTGGGATGAAATTCACAGGTCTTTCATAATCATTGATTCCAAAGGGCGACCAGAATTCTGTCTTGGGTTGAAGTTCATAAGTCTGCAATAACAAGTTCTCTTATACTGAAATGATCCATGAGGGTGTCCAGAATGCAGCCCCCCTATTTTTGGAGCTTAATATACTTCTTTGGAATGCTCCAGAATTTTGCATATGGTCATGAAAGTTCCTGAAGTTCTTCTAGAACTTCTTTAAGCTCCCGCAAGTTTCTTGGAATCAAAGCGTGATCTATAATTATCACTGAAGTTCTCAAGAGTTTCTGAAGTTCATTGAATTTCCCTTAAGTTATTTCCATTATTTCAAAACTTCTTCAATAGTCTATACTTTCCTGATGTCATTAAACCTGCCCAAAAGATTTCGGAATTTCCTTAAAGTTATTTGGACTGCCCTGAATTTCTCAGTATTTTTTTATAAGAACCCACAATTTTACTTAAATTAATTGCCTTGAGGTTTGCACGCTTTTCCTTAAGTTTTAAAAAACTTTATAAGCGCTCACGGAACTTTGCCTTAAATCATTAATTTTCTATGCTTAGCTGAAGTTTCCTCCTAAAGTTCTGAAATATATATATATATATATACCGTGGACCCCCGCTAATCTGAACGACACCTCATTCATATTAACGGGGTTCATTTTTAATTTGAACTTCTAGTAACCCTATCAGCGTGTTTTTGGTTGCCTTATTTGCTGTTTTGTTTTGATTCTGCGTTCCGTTTTGCAATGTTCCATTTCGCTTTACTCCGTTCCATGTGCAAAATGACGTTTAGGCCATTTTTAGTTTGCATGCCGTGCAGATAAGCGGGGTTCAAATTAAAAAGTGTTCAGATTAAAACCGGTCATATTACCGGGGGTCCCCGGTATATACAGGCATTCCATAGAAAAGCGATATAGGGGTTCTCTGAATTTCGTAAAAAATTGTAGTTTTGTTTCTTGTAGCAAAATATTAGACCATTAATTTTTTATTTTGTCATTGGGGTGACGATTTCCGTGTTAGGTTGGTTCAAAAGTAACACGCGCTGAAAGCCTTGCTGCTGCTGATGACAACCGACTGGACACCACCACACACGGTGATTGAATAAGCATCGTTCGGTGAGACCGGATGGAATTCGATTTTGAAATCTGTGTTAGAGAAAGCACTTTTTGCAGGTAATCGGTGATAGTTTTGATCACAATTAAACAATTTGACATTTGTGTAATTTTCAATAGTGACCTATTGAAAACTGAACAGGTTCGTAGAAAAAGTTCTAATCGATTGGTTTATTTAGAATTAAAATCCATCCGCTATTGACAGAGTTATAAGTGGTCAAAACCTGACCACTTTTCGTAACGCCGTCGATTTTGGTTTTTTTGAAATTGCACCCCCAATATGTTGCCAAAAGACGTAATCCTACCGTAAAAAAAATATTGTTACGACTAATGGATTAATTGGATCTAATAATTGAAAATATAATTAAAAAAATCGATTATCTGCTGATCGAATGAAGTAAAAAAAAATGAACACCTCTACAATCGAAAACCAATTTTCCCGGAAGGCTGATGGCTTGCTTAAAAACAACTCAGCAGAGGTTGATGGACCCAGCTCCAGAAAGTTTCCATCTAGATTGCCATGCGTGCCCCTCTCCTTGATTCAACCATTTTACATACGTTTCTTAATTTTTCCCCCATCTCTCTCTCTCTCTCTTCCTCTTGCAGCTAACGATGAACGATTTCAGTGTGCACCGGATCATCGGCCGGGGCGGTTTCGGCGAGGTGTACGGCTGCCGGAAGGCCGACACCGGCAAGATGTACGCCATGAAGTGTCTAGACAAGAAGCGAATCAAAATGAAACAGGGCGAAACGTTGGCGCTGAACGAGCGGACGATGCTCTCGCTAGTCAGTACCGGGGTGAGTATTCTTTATCAATTTTCGCGGGGGATTTGCCGTGAGCTTAGCAGGAGTTTTCAATTTCGGATAGTGCGGTTTCAGCACCAGGATTAGCCGAGCATTATCCCACGACCTTAAGTCAGACGAATTTTTCCCACCGACTGGCCCCTGTAAGCTCCAGTGCCCTGGAAGTAATGAGCTGTAATGATGATCACCACGCGGAGAGTAAAGTGCATTTCTTTCTTCACTGTTTCGCCTCATTTTACGCTTCTGTTTCCACACAGTGGCCATTAAGAAATCCAGCTCCAGCTTTCCTTTTTATCCCAGCAAGCGAGCGTCGTCGCCGCTTGCTTGGTCGAAATCTTGCCTCTAGCTGACATTTCCTCGAGAGACGGACGGAACGAAGACATTTACTGGAACGATTTTCCATCTCAGCAGCAACCAGCCAGCGGTGGCGACTTTCGGTCTCCTAGAGTGGAAAACTCTTCAACCGAGTTGCAAACAGAGTCAACTTAATGAGCTGTGAAAAATGAAATGCAGCAATCTCGTTACAATGGTTCTATTCTGTAACCCTCCGGTCAGCCCAGGGCTTCGAAAAGGTTACCAGAATCGATTTTGCAGCTTTCGCGGATGGCTGCATAAACGTCGTACATCAACCTTATGGCCCACTTTTGCCACCACCTTTTGGTAGTGACGACCATTCTCCGGAGAAACTTTACGCAGTTAATTAATTACTCAACCCCCTTCGTCGAACCTGAATCCCAATCTGATAATAATAGTGTAATCTCTCTTCATTCCCTAGGTCGACTGCCCGTTCATCGTGTGCATGACGTATGCATTTCACACCCCCGACAAGCTGTGCTTCATCCTGGACCTAATGAACGGTGGCGATCTGCACTATCATCTCTCCCAGCATGGCGTATTTAATGAGTCCGATATGAAGTTTTATGCGGCGGAAGTAAGTTGACTTTGCTTCTCCTTCCATCCATTATTACCATCACTGTCATTATTCCACCCTGCTCGGTAGCACAGGGTGGTAGCTCCATTGTTGTCTCTTGGCGTGGGTGGCAGCAGTAGTTGACAAAGTGACATTTGCAGAAGCATCGAAGCAAGCAAGTTGAGGAGCCATTTTACTCCCATCGCCGCCTACTACGCTCCCCTTAATGATAATCTCGTTTACCGGGGAAAAAAGCAAAAAGGTTGCTCTCGAACGACAAAGTTGACGAAACTGTGATGGACAGACGGCGTGGAAAGTTTTGCGAACAAAACAACTATTTACTGCAGTTGATGGTTAATGATTCGTTGAATCACTGGTTTTCAATTAAGGTGGCAACAAGTTGCTGATTGGGAATTTGAATCGATTGACTGTTCAATCAAACTCGGACTTGAGCAAGTTGGTTTATACTGAATTTGTTTTTGATTAGATTCCAACCTGGATCGGGTTTGCTTGTTTTCTGACAAACGGTTTCGGATTGGATTAGAACTTGTTCCAACCAGGATGATAAACAAATTCGCGATTAACTTGTTTGTTGGAACTGGAACAAGTTCAGTCCAAAAGGAGTGCATTCCTTGTTTATGTTTTCAACAATGCTCTCGAGTGCGGATCGCCACGTATAATTTAAAACGTAACACATCTGTAAAGGCAACAAACCGCTCCTTATGACGAATGAACCAGAACCAGTCTCATCTCCGTAGATTTTCATCGAGAAGAATGAAACTGGTAGGGCAGAAGGCTGTTCTATAGATTGCCGCAAATGATGAGATCTTTACGTTTGACTTTGACGACTTTGGTAGTACAAATCTTAAAAATTTGCTATGGCTTATTGCATGAAATCGCTACAACATATTTACTGCAGTTGTATCACGGAACCGCTAGTGAAAAGTTATATTTTGGTTTAGACCATTGTCAAGAATTAAATAGCAGTGTGTGTGTGTCATCCACTACCCCTAACCCAGCTGGCAACGTTGGTCAAATATGTAGAACTGTGAATAATTTGATCAACTCTAATGCTCCGTAATGATGCCCTTTGTGTTATGAAGATCAGTGCTTTAAAAAGGATAACTTTTGAGGTAAGACAAGGCATCCTCAACAAGTTTAAGGAAAAGGATGTACTAATGTTCACAACAGGTACAGCAAAACATCACATAGACACCCATTGGAGTTATAGAACCATAGTAAAAATTATTTCATGGCTACTGTGATAGCGATTTTGTATCGGATTGTTATTCTATAACTCGATGGTCCCTTGAATATCGAGCTGTAGAGAGTTCGCTGTATATTCAATGTAAATTCTGAGAATGATACTAAAGGATTTCTTAAGAATCTTCCTCAAATAATCTGAGGAATATTTCAATGAGTTTTCGAGGGATATTACGGTGATATTTTTTTTAGATAATTCAACAGGAGTAGCATTTCAATGATTTTTTTGGGACTCCTAGCAGAACTAAAACAATATTTCTATGATAATTCCATGGGAATTTCAGGAGAATAGTAAGTGTTCGCAACGTTAGGGATTCTTGAAGCAAAGTCCTTTTATGGTTCAAGACAGGCTCAAGCTGTAAATTTTATTGATTAATTAACCAGCTTGAATAGTTCAACAAATTCGTACTTACAATTTAGTGCCCAAACAATTCTAGGTGCGAACAATATACGGATCTTTAAGATCTATTTTTAATCTGTAGGTTTAGTCTGTAAATTCAATAGTTTTAAGGTATTTCATAGGAACAAATTAGTAAATAATCTTACGAAATTCGGCTAAGGGTAATTCTTTCTCTCCTCACTCGAGTATTTCACTTCACATACAATATCAACAAATTTCAATCAGACAATAAACAATAGACCTATGTATACTCCCTACATTTGACGTTCGTTCGTTGTACCGGTTGGGTCATCCTTTTGGCTCACTTGTCCGAGGGGCTTGCACGCAACAGTAAGTGAATGCTGAGGTAAACTCCATGTAAATTTTCAGTACAATTCTTCGTGGAAATCCTAGCAATAACAGCAAGAATTATTAATAGTTTGATGAGCATTGAAGAGTGAATAGAGTTCTTAAGAAGATGTTCATAGAGTATTATGGAGAAAATTATAAGGGAATACCAGAGAGACATCTAAGGAGGATATTCTGAGATGATTCTAAACATTTTTTTCAGAATATGCTACAGAAATCCTGCAGAGTTCCAAGGGTATCAAGATGATTCAAACATTGATATTTTTTCGAGTTGCTGGACACTGAAAAAATAATTAAGATCCGGGATTTAAAAGTAAATTAAAATCAAGGGGTAAGTTACAAAAGCACTTTCAGCACAATCTCGTAGGCATTGGATTGTTGTAAATAAAATGGGAGCACTGCTGGACAACTGTCATTGAAGTTGTTCACAACATTACGTGCTGTTTGACTGACTGAGGAACTCAGGCCAGCAGTTCACTTATAGATCTTAATACGAAATGTAGGTTCTACAGTGGGCTGAAGAGAAAGATGCAATTATTCAGACCCCATTAGCACCCTTAATTCAAATAATGCTGCAACTCACACAAAACAAACTACAGAAGTCTATTCATCATCCTCTATAGTCAGTCTCCAACGATGTTCCCCACCGGTTCCAACTCTTTCCGGCCTGATAGACCATTGCTTTTCACATCACGAAAGGCTAGGCTGCTGGTCTGCCTTTGAGGGCATTATAAAACTCTAAAACACAGGACTTTTACTATCCTATGAACACAAAACACCAAAATTTCGCACACCTGTAACTTCCCGCGTTATCCTCAAGCCGATTTATCCTTGCGATTTCAAACCAAAACATTCAAGGTGTCAGAAATACCGGGTTGCCGGGATGGGTATTTTACAAACAATCGCAGCTTGCTCTATGACTGGCACAATCGGCACACTGACAAAAAAGATGACCCATGACTGGTGTGCGGAGTGACCTACCCTTGATTAAAATCCATATAGTTTGATTTGTTTCAATAAGTTTTAATTTAAACTCAAGATTAAGGATATTTCCAAGATTCTGGAACATGAGAGGTTTCCAAGAGAATTATTCCAAATGCTGAACAACAACGCTCAGCAGTCAATTTAGAACGAAATGTGTTTTTTTTAACAGTGTCAGTTTAACACTCTTGGTCATTCTTGACTTGACCGGGGATGAGATTTGAACTCGTGACTTTGACTTTAACCACTATTCCGGGGTCGTCCTACACAACGAAATGTTTTAAGATTGCAAACATTAAATTTATCAACTGTTTTAGACTTTCAGCATTAGGCAAAAAATCAATCAAAATCTTCTAAATTGAGAAAACTTGAAAAATCCGTATAAACTTTAAATTTCCCGCATCTTGCAGTTTTTTTTTTTTTTTTTTGAAAATAATTTGCCTAATGTGTTGTTGTTGGAGGTGTCGAGTCTGACTACAGAATTTAAAAATTTAATAGATAAATAATCTGGAATTGGTTAAAACTAATTTCAAAATCTCTCAAATTTCCACAAAGCTCCAAATCTTGAAAATAATTGAAGTCCCAGAATCTTAACAAATCTCCAGAGCCAAGACAGGATCAAGCGAGCGATCTTATAACAAATTCTGCATTTAGGTACACATAATTAATGTTTTCCTTTGTCGGACACCTCTCGAATTAAAATATATTGAAAACATTCTAGGTTGTAAAAGTTTAGGATTGTTTGTTAGTCCGCTATTGTAAAGATGTCAAATGTTTCAACATCTCGTCAGGGATTTTGTGAAATGAAGTTCATCGATTTTATGAATTCCTGAGATCTTTCATAAACAATTCCGATAGCTAGCTAGCTAGTTTTATTTTGACGTAGGATTACGCCTTTCGGCAACATATTGGGGGTACAATTTCAAAAAACCAAAATCGACCGCGTTACGAAAAGTGGTCAGGTTTTGACCACTTATAACTCTGTCAATAGCGGATGGATTTTAATTCTAAACAAGCCAACCGATTGGAAATTTTTCTACAAACCTGTTAAAATTCAGTCTTTATAAATTTTCAATAGATCACTATTGAAAATTACACCAATGTCCAACTGTTGCAATTGTGATCAAAATTATCACCGATTGCCTGCAAAAAGTACGTTCCCTAACACAGATTTCAAAATCGAATTCCATACGGTCTTGCCGAACGGTGCTTATTCAATCACCGTGTGTCATCACCAGCAACAGCAGTATTTTTGGCGCATGGCGTTGAACATTGTTCTCCAGTACACAACGAAAGGCTGCCCGCAAGCAACGAGCTGCAGCCCACTTGAGCGTTCATTCACCGAAGAAGGGGGAAGACGCCGCACCGCTACTGATTGGATTCAGTAGCTCGTCGTGAGCCGCTGTGGGCCATCTATGCCAAGCGCCTCACCCTCGTTCCAAACAATATCCAGCATGGTCTTGCTTTGTTGACGGTTGACGTAGACTACGTTAAACTGTTTAGTGAACTTCTTGTACACTTTTGTTGATATTGATTTAAAGTACAGTAGAAGTAACCTATTATATCGGGCCTATGTACATATTTTGGAATTCATACTTAATAAAAGGTGACCAAATTCAGGAGCTCATAAAAATGCGAATACATCGTCTATTGCAGCGGTTCTCAAACTTATCCTTATTGCGACCCACAATAAGCTCGCGACCCACAGATGTTGTCAGGCCAGAATGACCGTAAATCCTAAAAAGTGTCTTAAATATGCTTAAAATGCCCAAAAACTAAGGTTAGTGTGGCAGTTTTTGGCCCTAGGACCTAAATCAAATATTTTTTTTCTGGTTTTATTTGCAATTGTAAATTGACACAATCTATGTTTATCCTGGCATCCAGATAAATTTGAAAATTAATTAGATTTAGAATTAATTAGAAAACCATAAGGGACAAATACTGGCTAATTTACCCCTCATTTTTGCCTGAAACTCAAAAACAAAAAGGCATTGAATCGTCCAAATAGCTAAAAAAAAAAACGACGAAA